TAAATATGTTGATGGTCAGTTTGGTACATACACTAGCCTAAATATCTATGATTTATTTCTTAATAGAGGTGGCCACATGATAATCAAATATTTAGAATGACACCATCCTGAAGATGGATATGAATAAATGCCATTACCAATATACTAGATATAAATGTACATATTAAGTTCATGTCCTAGATGGACAAGATCAGTTGCTATTGAACTAGCACACTTGAAGTGTGGTAATCCAAAGGGTTACAATGATAAGAATCCTTGGAAGAGGAAATGAGCACTAATTGACCATGACAAATTTGGAAAAGTGACACATTTTATGTATCTCCTGAAGAGATCAGTTCTAATACATTAAAATGTGAAATGATTATATAAAGTACTCCAAAAGAGTATAAAATGTTGTCCAACAAGGTTAGCATGTATCAAGATTACAACCAATGCTCCATTGGAGTATGAGTATTAGTTAATTGTCTTGTCAATTGTAGAAAAAAAAAACACATTTGTGTACTTATATCACATCATATTCATGGCCATGCATAAAGTATCTTTAATAAGGTGATCACCAATATTATAAAACTCACCATAATTTAAATATTTACTAAAGGAAAAGTGATTATTGGATGTGATAATTAAAAAAAATTAGGCCATCCGGGGTTTAATAAATTCCCGTTATGAAAACCTGAAGTTTCATTTGATATGAAAGAAATAATGTGCTGATGCTCTCTCATGTTAAATATATGAAATAAATTGAATGGCAAGACATAACATTGAGATTGAGCTATATTTAGATTGTGAATTTTTATTGTCTGTGTAAAAAGAAAAGTTCAAGAGATAATATATTGGTTTTTTTTGAATAATTGGTGACCAGAAGTTCACTAAATAATTTATATGTTGACAAATATTAGGTGAACAGAAGCTCATCACGTACAAGTTATATGTGAAAATTTTAAGTAACTAGTATTACTATCAATGTTTCTAGTGATCCCGAAGATCACCACCTAGTGAAATTACAAGAAAGTTTATATTTGTATAACAATCCTCTTGATTGGATCTATTGTATGTCAGCACATAAGGAATAGAATAAGAAATTAGCAACTGCACTATTTTACCAACTTAGGGGAAAGAATTGAAGTAAGTTGGCAATATTATAATACTATAAATAGTTGATCCCTCTAATGATACTTTGTAAAGTTACATGCCAACTTTTGTATCAACATATGTTGCACATCTATGATTTGATTTGTATACCGTTATGACCCATCTAGAGGAATAGATAGATATATTTTGATTATGGTGATAATGATATTATGTGCATACATTAAGATAGATATTGCCAATTTACTTTAAATCACTGCACCTGAAGTGTAGTTTGTATGATCGGTTCCAACAATATAAATATGCGATGTACGACAAGATAGTGCAGTTGATATTTTAAAGTATAATAATAGTATATTAATACCATAGTGTGAGAAATACCTTTAATATGTGGTATAGATATCTGAATTATTATAAAAGATGGCCTATTATGTAAGAAAAGTTATGATGGTACCAATGAGAAACGCATTCAGATATCATAGTAAAATAGCATGCGTAATATACGTTATAGGAACTTTATGATACCGGTACACAATGGAACCGGTGAATAATATGCATATGTATGATAGAATGGAGTAGTGAATAAGGGATCTGAAATATATGTCCATTTTATTGTCGACATAATGATAATTATCAAAAGTTTATTATGGACCACAAGTCCAATGAAATATGGATTTTTAAATCCACACTGTACAGTGTCTTGCATCATTTTGAGTCTTATATTCATGTGCATGAGTGAGTCATAAGTTAATGGATATTTATTGCTTATATAGGAAGTTGTTAGATGCATTACTCATTGTATATTTGTTAATATGTTATCATATTTTCTATATATCATATTGTATGCATTAATTTCTTACAATAACTGTGGTGTATGTAAATGTTCATTCAAAGTATAGTAAGATATGTTTACAACTTTGATGAAAAATTAAAAATAGATATTAATATTTCAATGGGCTTATAATTGTGATGAAATTATTGATGACACCGATTTAATTGCACATTATGAATTAAGAAGAGTTCCTGAAGAACTTATATACGACCTATTGTAATATCCAGCCCAACAAAGTTTATATCTTGAATTGGCAATTATTATAAAACTCTTGAAAATCTATGTACGTAACAACATTATTGACATCTCAACCTGAAGTTTGAGCATATGAGAGTTAATGAGATTTACTATTTGTATTTGCAAGAGAGCTATCGTGTTAATTATGAAACTTCTTAAGAATATCAATGGATCACTTATGCGTGACAATGTTTTCTTATGGTCCAGAAGAACCATGATTAGCGTATATATTTACGTGTGTTATATTATAATTTATATGAGAAGAATGATATTAATAGTATCAAGTTTTGTCATCAAATTATTACTCGTATTAATGAATATTTGATCAAATAATGATCATCAATATTTATTATCAATGACTTCCAGAAGAAGTCATAACCGTATAAGTTTATCCTTTGAATTAACTATTAAACAGATATTTGAAATAATGATATTAGAGATAAACACATGTATGGTTAAATGAAGACACTTCACATGTTTATGTGAAGACTTGAAGATGCAATTTCAGTTTAGGAGTATCAAAGATCAACGAGTGATATTATACTACATATGAGAAGATATCTAAAATATTGGATTCATTGCTGCGACACTAGAAGATCTCAAGCTATGTATTCATAAGGGGGAGAAAATACGCGCTGCACCCTTTTTTCCTTGACCATGGTTTTGTCCCACATTGGGTTTTCCTGGTAAGGTTTTTAATGAGGCAGCATCTCAAGCGTATTACGAAGAATGTTGTACTCTTTTTCCTTCATTAGGTTATTTTCCCATAGGGTTTTTCCTAATAAGGTTTTAACGAGGCACACTCTTCGATAATGGACATCCAAGGGGGAGTGTTATGAAATATTGTATGGATATCCATTATCCTCCTTTATCATTTCGGAATGTTCTAGAATTAGGGTTTATTGTTATCTAAGCAAACCCTAGTTATAGTGTATGTATATATATATCCCCACTCTATGGAATAAAATAGACTGATCTATTCTCTCCCTAATTTCTTCTCTTTCTCTTTAATTTTATAACATAATGGTTATTTTTCCTTTTTAAAAAAAAATATAAGATAAGGAAACTACACCCAGTTATGAAAACAAAGAGTATAATAAAAACAATAACAGATCACTGCACACCAAAAGCATAAAGGTAATTAACAATCATAGATATACATACATAAATGCCTAAGTTTTTTTCTTTTTAAATAATAAATTAATTAAATAAAACTTTAAATTAATTGATGATGTGTAAGCTTTGAATTAAAAACATTAAACACATTAATAAGGGTAAATATACAAATACACTTTTTTGAGGCTATAGTTGGTAGCACACTATTCCTAAGAGTTAGCTTATACTTTTTCTTTTTATAAGGTATATATATATATGTATATATATACCACTGCCACTAAGGGTGCATTAATGTCAACTTAAAAAAATTCTAATTAGATTTATTAGAGTTGATAATGTTCAATCAAATGTAAACATTAGGTAAAAGTACAAGAGCTCTTTTAAATAAGCTTAAGTGAAAAGAATGCACAATAATAAAGACTTTTTTTAGACTCATGCCTATGACAATGTCAATGAACTCCTGCTTTCCATCTCTCTTGAAGGTTTTTAATGTATAGATTGAGAAGATCTATATCAATAATAAGTATTAATCTATAATTACAAAGATAATGAGCATTAATATACACAAAAAATTGATTAAAATTTTATATTTTTCAAACAATGAAATTCTAGCATCCATTTAATGTAATCTCGAGTGCTTGGTACTTGACAATTGCTTTTCTGACCCCAGGATCAGGTACAATGTCAACCAACATAATCCTTCAAAATTTGTCTCAAGTATTCTTCTTGCTCGACGCTACCTGCGAGTTCTTCCCACTGCAGTGAAACATGAATTAATTCACAAACAGAAAAATCAAGCACATAATGAACGACAAAATCTGTTTTGTACAAGTAATTAAAGAATAACATGGTTTCAGTTCAATGACCAAAACAAAAATTTGGCTATGTACATCTTGTCGTGTGTTGAATGCTAGGTTTATATGATAATCCACAGGAAGAATCTAATTGAGATGAAACATTCTTGGTGCAAAAGGACAGTGGTTCAACCATCTGTCAATAAGAGATATCCACTAGCTGTACAACTAGACTCAGTTTTATGCCTTACACAGAAGAGACAGGAAAATTATAGAATGGAAGGGAGTAGATGAAAGCGAGACTAGAGCAATTACGTCCAGCAATGGTATCTCGATTACATAATTGCACATCAAGGAAAAATAACATGAAATGACTAGTATTAAGAGGATCAAATGTTCTAGCAGAAATACTTAAAAGCACTCCAGAGATTAGACAGCTCTATATGTTGAATTCTGTCAAATCGTCTGTTTACATGTAAAAAGACAGTGTGATGGAATCAGGATCATTAACTATATACCGATGTATGATCCTCAATACCCAGCAGCTTTTGAGCTTTAAGTGCTTAACATTCATAATTCATAATAAAATTACCAGTCATAAAGAGGAATACATCCTTTCAGTGAAACTTATTTCCGAGCAAGAAAAAAAATTTACATATTACACTAGGTTTGGTATAAAACAAATGATGCCTATAATTATGTACTAAATGGCCTCCTTCATGATCTAGCTGTTAGACAATATATTCCGTATGTATATTTTGAGTATGATGTATTTATGTACGATAGGTTGTTTGGTAACCTATATATATTTGTATAGTAGGCATGTTGCCGTTTAATGAGAATTATACAATTCTTCCAAAGGGAAGAAGAATAAGGGTGCGAAGGCTTGGGGTTCCCATATGTCACAACCTCCGCCTGGTAGGGGTTCCCGTATGTCGCAACCTCCGCCTGGTTGGTTTCCTTGGCCAGGTCCTTGGGGTGTGTTTTATCCCCCTTGTCCTTACCCTTCGCAGGTTGCCCCGTGGCGTGGCTCTTTCCCACAACATCAGCCTTCGCTGCCCCAGCATCGTCCCTCACAGCAAGGTCTGCTGGGCCCTGCTCCTAGACATCAACAGGCTGCTTTGATTGCCTCTGCTCCTTCACAAGACTCGGTGTCTTCTACCGCAACTTATGGTTTACAGTCTAGTTCTCTCCCTTATTGGTTTAGTGCTATGAGTCTTCAAGCTCCGGACCAAAATTGGTATATGGATACGGGTGCAACTTCGCATCTCATTAATGATACAGGTATCAATTCTTCTATGTCCAGTTTCAATCCTTTAAATTCACATATATTTGTTGGTGATGGTTCGAAAATTCCAGTAACAAGCACTACCACATCCACTCTTCCTAACCCTTTTCCTCCTTTCTTACTCCGAAACACGTTGTATACTCCTAAAATAATTAAAAATTTAATTTCAATTCGTCAATTCACTTCCGACAATAATGTATATGTGGAATTTGACCCTTTTGGTTTTCCTGTGAAGGACCTCCGGACGGGGAAAATTATGACGCAGTGCAATAGTGTTCGTTCTCTTTATCCTCTTTCTGCTGCAAACACATCATCTTCCTCTCCTTCCGTTTTTGCTGCATTATCTTCCGACGTCTGGCATAACCGCTTGGGTCATCCTGGCAACCAAGTTATTGATTTCTTAGGAGTCATAATTTAATTCGTTGTAATAAAGGCTCTAGTCTTCATGTTTGTACTGGTTGTCAATTGGGCAAACATTGTCGACTGCCATTTTTAGTTTCTACTACTATGACATATGCTCCTTTTGACATTATTCACACTGATTTGTTTACTTACCCGATTAATAGTCATACTGGTTTTCGATATTATTTATTATTTCTGGATGACTATTCGCATTTTTTGTGGGTATTTCCGTTGCGGTCTAAATCTGATTTTACTACCTTTGTTAATTTTCATAAATATGTTCAGACACAATTTGGCCATCCTATTAAAGCTTTACAGTGTGACAATGGAGTGTGACAATGGACGAGAATATGATAATGATGCTTTTACTCATTTTTCCCTGTCTTCCGCCATGATATGGCGCCATTCTTGCCCACATACTTCTCCTCAAAATGGAAAAGCAAAACGGATGATTAGGACTATTAATAATATTAGTCGGTGTATGCTTTTTCATGCTTCTCTTCCTCCTTTCTTTTGGGTAGAATCCTTACATGCCGCAACGTATCTTCTGAATATTCGTCCTACCCGTCTTCTCCATAATCTCACTCCGGTGCACACATTTTACAATAAGGCACCTTCTTATGAACACATTCGTACCTTTGGATGTTTGTGTTTCCCTAATCTTTCGGCCACTTCTCCTAATAAAATGAGCCCACGATCTACTCCTTGTATTTTCTTAGGATATCCCTCATGCATCTCACCGAGGGTATCGCTGTCTTGACATTCAGACAAAGAAAATCATCATTTCTCGTCAAGTAGTGTTTGATGAATCTGTGTTTCCTTACTCGTCATACTACACTCCTAATATTTCTTATTATGACTTTCTTCATAATCAAGATAGTTCTTCTCCTCTTCCTTTGCTAGTGTCCTCGGCTCCTGCTGACCGTGCCATCCCTGCGCACGGTTCGCCTCTCCCTGCAACTGCCCACAGTTCAGCTGACACCGTTGCTACTACACCCTCTACTACATCGGTTTCTGCTAGCCCCGGTAGTACTTCGGACGGCCCAGCTACTGACCATGCGGTCGCTGTGCGCTGCTCCTCTTCTTCTTCCACAAATCAGCCAAACACTTTCCCTTCTTCTCATACTATGCAGACTCGTGCTAAATCTAGAATTTATAAACCCAACCCAAAATATGTGAATTTTTTGGTGGGTTCATCTACATCGCCAACTAGGTCTCCTATTCCCCATTCTCCTATTCATGCTTTAGAGGATCCCAATTGGTACAATGCTATGTCTGATGAGTATAAGGCCATGATTGACTCACACACATGGGATTTGGTTCCTAGACCTCATGATGCTAACATTATTCGATGTCTTTGGGTCTTTACACATAAGGAGAGGGCGGATGGGTCTTTTGAGCGTTATAAGGCGCGGCTTGTTGCAAACGGTAAAAGTCAGGAAATTGGTATTGATTGTGGTGAAACTTTTAGCCCGGTTGTTTAACCCGCAACTATTCGTACTGTTTTGAGTTTGGCTTTTTCCTGAAACTGGTCTATTCATCAACTTGATGTCAAGAATGCTTTCCTTCATGGCAATCTTCAGCAAACTATGTATATGCATCAACCACCTGTTTTTGTTGATTCTGCTAAACCCAACCATGTGTGTCTTCTTCGTCGTTCTATTTATGGCTTGAAACAGGCTCCGAGGGCTTGGTTTCAACGTTTTGCTACTTATATTTTGAGTATTGGATTCGTCAACAGCAAATGTGATAACTCTTTATTTGTTTTCCGGTAAGGATCGGAAACAACTTTTCTTCTTTTGTATGTTGATGATATTATTCTGACATGCTCTTCTATTAGTCTTCGCCAACGTATTATTTCTCTTCTTAGTGCAGAATTTGCAATGAAGGACTTGGGTCCCTTGTCATATTTTTTGGGTGTCTCAGTCACACAAAATAAGGATAAATTGTTTCTTTCTCAGCGGAAGTATGCATAGGAAATTTTGGCGAGGGCTAATATGAGTTCTTGTAAGCCTGCAAACACTCTGGTGGATACTAAGTCTAAGCTTAGTGGTAATAGCGGTGCTGCCTTTGATGATCCATCTTTATACCGTCAGTTAGCAGGGGCTCTACAGTATCTTACCTTTACCAGACCAGATATATCATATGTTGTACAACAGGTGTGTTTGTTCATGCATGATCCTCGTGTCCCACACTACAATGCTTTGAAACGCGTACTTCGTTACTTATAAGGTACACTTGATTATGGTATGCATTTATCTGCCACTCCTTCTTCTGGTCTGATTTCTTATTCTGATGCTGATTGGGGTGGTTGTCCCGATACAAGACGTTCGACGTCTGGTTATTGTGTGTTTCTTGGTGATAATCTTATATCTTGGTCGTCTAAACGACAAGCCACATTGTCCCGATCGAGTGCAGAGGCTGAGTACAGGGGTGTGGCGAATGTCGTTGTTGAAACAACATGGTTACGTAATCTTCTCTTGGAATTACATTGTCCATTACGATCTGCTACGATTGTATATTGTGACAATATCAGTGCTGTTTTCATGTCCCATAATCCGGTTCATCATCAACAGACTAAACATATTGAGATGGATATTCATTTTTTCCGCGAGAAGGTTTCTCTTGGTGATGTACGTGTTCTACATGTTCCTTCCGCGTTTCAGTATGCGAACATTTTCACAAAGGGTCTTCCACTACTAGAAATTGGTTGTTTTCCGACGAAATTGTTCCGACGGACCTATATTCCGTCGGAAAATTTGTACTTTCCGACAGAATTAGAATCTGTCAGAAAACTCCGTTGGAAAAGATACATTCCGACGGAAATTCCGTCGGAATACTTGCGACAGAAATTAATTCCCTCGGAAAAATAGGGTTCCAACGGAATTTTCCGTTGGAACATCAAGTTATCGACGGAATTAAATTCCGTCGAAAATTTCCGACGGAATATTCCCTCGGAAATACCAAACATTCTGACGGATTAAAATTTTCCGACCCCCCTTTATTTAAAAAATAAAACCTTTAAACATTAAAACCCTAATGAACTCCCACCCCTCTTTAGAATTCAGCCTCTTTTCTGTCTTTCCCCTTTTCTATTTTCTTTCTCTTTCCTCTTCTTTCTCTTTCCCCCTTTCTCTGCTCCACTTCTTTTCCCCCTTTCTCTTTCCCCTTTCTTTTTCTCTCTCCTCGCATCTTTCCCTCACTGCCTCTTCTCCTCTTCTTTTTCCCCTTTCTCTGCTTCCCTCTTCTCCTCTTCTCCTTTAGCATATACAACCGCATCGTGGGAGCACTGTTCACCGTCGTCCACGTAGAAGCATCATCAAGCATCGTGGGAGCACCGTAGTAGATCGAGCACTGTCAAGCATCATCGTGGGAGCACCGTTCACCGTCAACCACCGTAGAAGGACGAAAATATAGGTGGAATATTGGTTAGTTTGTAGATCTAGGTTTATTTTTCACAAAATTTATGATTATAATTATATTTTTGATGAAATTGTAATGTAAGTTTATAAATTTGTAATGTACGTTTTTAGATCTGGTTTTTTTGATTTTTTTGGTAATGTAAGTTTATAAATTGTTTTTTTTTTTAATTTTTTGGTAATTTTGTAATGAAATTGTAATGTATGTTTATAAATTGTTTATTTTGATTTTTTGGTTATTATTTCGAATTTTTTCCGTTTATTTTTCGAATTTTTTTTCGTTTGTTTTCAATTTGGTTTATTGTGGTGGTGGTGGGAAGGGCTTGGTGTTGTGGGGGTGGCGAGGTGGAGTGGGTGGCGAGGTGAATCTGGGTGGGGAAAGTGGGTAGGGGGGCGGGGGTGGGCTGGTGGCGGGGGTGGATCTGGGTGGGGAAAGTGGATCTGGGTGGGGAGTGGTGGCGATTAAGGGGTATGGGGCAGGGGATGTAGGCTGGTGGCGTTGGGTGTGCGTGTGGGTGGGTCTGGGTGGGGTGGGGTGGGGTGGGGTGGGGGTGGCCTGTTTTTTTTTTATTGACCTTTCCGTCGGAAACCTCTCCAACTCCGACAAAATTTTTAGTCGAAAGCTTGCGACGGACTGCCCATTCAGGTCAAACATAGGCTCTGGCAATTTAAATTCCGTCGGTAGGGCCTTTTTCGACGGAAAATCCCTCGGTATAAGCAAAATTTCCTACAAAGGGGTTTCCGACAACGTGTTTCGACGGAAATCCGTCAGAAACAGCCCTTTCCGACGGATTTAGAAGGTGTACCGACAGATATTTTCCGTCGTAAATAAGGTGTTTTCTAGTAGTGTTCCGACACCTTTGTTTCTGGATTTTCGTCACAGTTTGACCATCCGTCCTCCTCCTGCTCCAAATGAGGGGTTGTGTTAGACAATACATTCCGTATGTATATTTTGAGTATGATGTATTTATGTACGATAGGTTATTTGGTAACCTATATATATTTGTATAGTAGGCATGTTGCCGTTTAATGAGAATTATACAATTCTACACTAGCATATTAGAAAAGCCAGGTTATCTCATTTGTCAAACAATCAGCAATCTTGGATTAAAGATGATTTTGGAAAAGAAGTGGATGATCAATTAGTAAAAATTTGTACTCTAAGAAATCACACAGGATAGCCACATTCAGTTTGATTGCCAACCATTTCTTAAAAGAAATACTGTTCATGTCATAAAACAGTGAGGCACTTATTCCATAATATTGTAAGTCTAAAATTCTAACAAAGCGAATGTATTTTCAGTTTTTCACACCAATTTTCAATTATGTAATCAGGTGTAATTGGGAACATATAAGTCCAACTGCAAAGCTATCCTTGTAAAAACACAAGGTCCGAGCGCAAAATATTGGAAATTCTGTGATTTGAATTGTAATTCTATTATTTTCAAAACACAATATGCTCAATTACTGTAGCACAATTCAAACACTGAGATCACAGAAAGTAAGAATTACTAGGTCCAACCAAATAAAACCTTTCATAGCAAATATTTCAGAAGACTCACTTCTTGGTGAGAAACTGACAAAGGATTCCAGCCAA